AAGGGTCTAGGCCCGAAACGTCAGCCTTCCTGCTCCTATGATGCTGCTTGGCCTGCTGTGTTCATCCAGCTCTACACCTTGTTATTACAGACTATGCTGTTATTTGAAGGTTTAAACACAAGGCAAAAAATACTTGAATGAAATATTCTTAATTCAGTATCCCCATACAAACAAACGTCTGTCAACTCGTCAGGAAATCTTAACTTCAGAAAGTGTCCATTTAAAACTATGTAAGGCAAATTTCCAGTGTAACTTGATGATAAAATTTGAGATACAGTAAACAATTGGAGGACCAAAGGAATCTGCAAATGGATATGAACCAGATGATGTACTGGACTAGATGTGGCAGGTAGAATTCAATACCAGTATGTTTGAAGTTGCTTGTACAGATCTTTTTTTCCATGGCACAAACTGAATGTTGTGTTTTACAGCTAAAATGTTTAAGATAAAATATTACTTGTACTGATGAATATATAAAATCATAGTGCAATTGCAGTTGAGTATTGTGTCCAGTTTTCAGTCCCACAACACAGGAAGATTGTTGAAGTAGTGGAAGTGCTACAACATCAGCTATATAGATGGTGCCTTTAATACAGCAATGTGACCTAAAATGCTTCATAGGAGTATTACAAGATAAAGTATGAAACCTAGGTATTTCGCGTTTTATGCGGCTGAGAGCGCTCAAAGCTAGGACACCCCCTAAAACGTAAGACAGTAAAATGAGGCCATGGTGTTAACAGGTAGTTCTGGAACTTGGTGCCATGTGAACTGAAGATGCAGCTACCAATGGTGGAATTATTAGAATTGGAGATGGTTAAGAGGCCAAACTTAGATGAGCACAGAATGACTTGGAAGGTTGTGGAGGTAGGAGATTGGAGAGATTTGAAATTTGAGGTTAAGAATTTCACTAAACAAGAAACAAAAAGAACTGCAGATGCTGGAAATCAGAAACAAAAACAGAAATTGCTGGGAAAAAAAAAATCAGCAGATCCAGCAGTATCTGTGGAGAGAAAGCAGAGCCAACATTTCAGGTCTAGTGACCCTTCTTCAGAACTGTTTGTAGCCCGGAAAAGGGTGGTATATATGCTAAAGATCAGGTGGGAGAGGACCGGGGAGTAACTGATAGGAGGAGATGGAGCCAGATAGAGAGAGAGCCCTTACAGCTCTTCTTTAGGATAAAACGGGTTGAAGGTGGGGAATAACTGGATCAGGATTGGACAGCCATAATTCAGACCCATTTTAAATTCATTTGTTCGGTCCTTATTTTCATCTAATCCATTAAATTTGTTAGTACAGTTATACAGAAAAACCCAGAACAGTTTTGGAAGCAAGATGATCCTACTCTGCAGTGTTGAAATAGCTGGAAGATTTCAAGCATAGTGCTACAGCACCACCAACAGGAAAGTGTAATTATAGTTAGGCTTTGAAAGACAGACAGTTTCTCTAATAAATATAGAAAATAGGAAGGAAGGTTAATAGAAAAATAGGTGTAACATTCCTAATAGATAATACAGATTGTATCTTTCTTTGTTGGAAACCTCTGGTATATAGAACTAGGAGGGAGTCACTTAGCTTGTGATAGATCTTTTGAAAGGAGCTATCCTATTATGAAGACATCCCAGATTTCTCCTCATAATCCTGAAAATTTGTTGTTATGTATTTGTCCAATTGCCTTTAAAAATTCGTATGGAACCTGATTCCACCACCTATTTTTGTAAGCTCTTTTAGTTTTATGCTGTCCTTTATCTCTTTCATTGTCCATGGCTTTTTTTTGGTGAAGTGGAACTTTACCCTCAGGTGTATAAACTTGTTTCGTATTATTTTAAATGTTTCTTTAAACATCTTTTACTGTTTTTCAGTTGTTTTACCCATTAGCAGATTTTCCCAGATTATTGTAGATAGCATGTGTTTTATCTCATTAAAGTTGGCCTTACCTAAATCTAAAACTCTAGCAGCTGATCATGCTTTTGATAATCAAACACTACATTGAACTTGATCATGATATGGTCACTATTTGATTAACGATCATGCACTAATTAAATGTGGCTCATTGCTAAATCTAATATTGCTTGTCCCCTTGTTGCATCCAGGACATATTGTTTTCAGAAACTGTCCTGGACGCAGTCCAGAAAAACACTACTTTTCTGATAGGTGCTTGTCTGCCTCTCACAATCTATGTTAACATTAAAATCAGTAATACCACTCTGGCTTTGCTCTGCCTAATTTCTGCATTTATACAAATCTAGCATTTCAGAGCTGCCACTAGGCATCTATACACAATACCTATCAGTTTTAGATCCTTTAGTGTTCTTCATAGATACTGTCAGCATGCCTCCTCAGCTTTGTCCATGGTGGATACTTGGTGAGGTAGCATAGGGAGGGAAGAGCGAAGAGTGGCAGTTGAATTGGTATAAGGGCCATATGGTAACACAGTGTATGAGGGGCTATGGATATGGAAGAAAGGCATAGGGTGGAAGTGAAAATGCATGTGGGTAGTGAGGGAAAGTGAATATGAGGAATGTTTTGTGCTTCAATCTCTATTTTATTAACTTCGACAACTGTGCCAGAGCCCCTATGGAGGCTTTCCTCTTAGCCCACCTCAAGAACTAGCAACCTTAGCAAAAATCTAAGTTGTTTGATCTGACTCCCAATCGAGCTTGCCTCCCCAGGCTGAAGATCAGAAATGCGGGCATCCGCTTTTTAAAAGGTTGGATTTGCAGAACTGGGAATTCTCCTGCCTCTGCACGTCCGGCTACAGGATGAAAATTAGGGCCGACTTCTAGATTTCTACTTCTAATTTGCACCTGCAATGACCAAAGTTCAATCCATGTATTGAAACAAGAACAACAATGATCACACTGCATACTTCCTTCCCAACCCCCAGTCAGAAATGATCTATTCATCATTACTATATGCCTGAAATACCTTCATTCCTTCTTCCCAACTGATCCACAGGTCTCCTCGGGTTAGGAAACATGCTACAGCATGTCGGGCTAGATGATGGATCCAACCTTCCTGACGCAGCTGAGTCATAATAGCATCAATCCATGGATAGCCAGTTTTCCCCTCTGCCCACTTAGCTAGTGAAACAGGATTTTTGTCCCAAGGTATGCGCACACAAATTGGATTTCCCTCCATTTTGTCAAAGCATGGGTTATTTGTTGCTGCTGTGTAGAAAAACTCACGCCACAGAAGCTGGCCATAGAGAGACAGTGGTGGTGAATCCGTTTTCTTTATCTGGAAGTAAAAAAACCAAAACAAACCATTTTATTTATCAGACAATATCAATTAATGGCTAAACTGAAAAAAGGGACAGTTTTAAAATAATTTAAAATGGAGTGGGCAACACAAAGAAGCATTCGGAAGGAGATGCAAAGTAATCAAAGGAAGATATTGACAAACATAATTAGAATAAACAATACCAATAACTCAAATAAATGGTGGAGGAAATGTGAGAGACTAAGATGTGGTTGAAGTACATGTGTATAAAAGTATAGGGATCCGTAAATAAGGTTGATGACCTACAGGTGCAAATAGTCAAATGGTATTATGATATCATATCAATAATGTAGACCTATTTGAAACAAGATGCAGAATGGGAATTTAACATTCCTTGCTCCAGGGTTCAAAAGAGGTGGTAATACACACCTGGGTGTATATTACGAGCAAAGTTGTAGGAAGGAGACAAGTGTCCAGGCAATATACCAATGAAAATGCAAGTTCTACCGTGTAGGAGAGAATTCAATTATTCTAATCAGATTGGGGTTAAAAACAGGCTTAAAATATTTCCTGAAATAAGAAAGAAAAAGGATTTCTAGATCAGTTTGTTTAGAAACAAGGAAGGAAGTGGTACTGGATCGAATTCTGAGAAATAAAGAGTATGTGCACAGTGATCACAACATTATTCAGTTTAGCACAGAGTTGTAATGAAATATGACCATCTCTAACAAAAGAAGATTTAACCTTTACGCTACCATTATTGAATCCCCCAGCATTGATCAGATATGGAACTGGACTAGCTTTATAAATTCTATGGCAACAACAGCAGGTCAGAGGCTAGAAATCTCACAGCATGCTACTTAACTTCTGACTGCCCAAAGTCTGTCCACCATCTACAAGATACAAGTCAGGAGTATGATGGAATACTGCTGCTCCAATACAAGAAACTTTGACATCATCCAGTACAAAGTAGCCTAACTGATGGGCACCATATCCGTAAACATTTATTCCCTCCATCACTGACTCTCAATAGTAACAGTATGTACCATCTACAATTTGCACTGCAGAAATTCACCAAGACTCTTTATACAGCACCTTCCAAACCCACAACAAACACGATCTACAGGACAAGGGCAGCATATACGTGGGAGTTCAACATCCACCAAGTTACTTGCCTTCTTCACTTGAAAATACATTACCGCTCCTTCAGTGTCACTGGGTCAAAATCCTGGAACTCCCTCCCTAATGTCATTGTGGGTATGCCTACACCAAAAATGAACTGCGGTGGTTCAAAAAAAGCAGTTGACTACCACCTTCGCAAGGCAACTAGGGATGGGCAATATCCATGAATTGATAAAAGGAAATAGAATCCATACAGTGTGGAAACAGGCTATTTGGCCCAACAAATCCACATCAACCCTGCAAGGAGCATCCCACCCAGACACATCCCCCTACTCATTCTCTGTAACCCTACATTTTCCAAGGCTAACGCACCCAACCTACACATCCCTGAACACTATAGGCAATTTAGCATGGCCAACCCACCAAACTTGCATATCTTTGGACTGTGGAAAGAAACCTGAGCACCCAACAGAAACCCAGGGAGAATGTGCAAACTCCAGCAGACAGTTGCCTAAGGGTGGAAATGAACCACAGTCCCTGGTGCTGAGGCAGAAGTGGGCACCATGGTCAGCATGGACCGGTTTGGTCCAAAAGTCCTATTTCCATGCTGTATTACTCTATGACTCTAAGTGCTAACCATTGAGCTACCGTGCCCCCCTGAAATGGAAACCTTTGTTAAAGCTAAGAGGCATTGTGTATAAAAGTAGTAAATTCAGACTAAAATTTGATTTTGAGAAATGATGAGGTCATAGCAGGCGTACAGAAAAGGGGGAAAAGGGGATTTGAGAGTGGTGTCAAAATTCTGAAGAGTTTTGATGCATGCAGTTGTTTGTTTGCTTGCCAAACCGGTTGTTCACTGATGCGCAGAAGTTTCGTTACCGTTCTAGGCAACATCATCAGTGCGACCTCAAATCGAAGCGTTGGTGTTCTGCTCTGTTCTGAATTTATATGATCTTCTGATGTGGTGGGTCTTGTTACTTCCGGTTCTGTTTTTTCAGCAGCAGTCTGTATACAGGGTCTATTTCTACGTGTTTGTTAATGGAATCCCATGTTGAAAACCAGGCCCTTGCATGTCTGTTGTTCGCTTGTCCCAGTATAGTCACTTCATCCCAGTCGAACTGATGGCCTTCACTGTCTGTTTGTATTGAGACAAGTGAATATTGGTTGTGTCTTTTTACTGAGAGCTGGTGTTTGTGTATCCTGGTCATCAGTTTACACACACACACACACACACACACACAGCTGCTGAAAAACAGAACCAGAAGTGACAAGACCCACCACACCAGAGGATTATATAAATTCGGAACAGAGGAGAATACCAATGCTTCAAATAGAGGTCACACTGGTGATGTTGCCTAGAATGGTAACAAAATGCCTGCACTCCACAGAACAACTGGCTCGTTGAGCAAACGAACAGCCACATCACAACCCGAGCTACAAATTTTTGCAAAGACCTTAAAAAGTTTTGATGCATATACAAGGGAAAAAAGATGGTTTCCAGTGGCTCAAGGATCAGTAAATAGAGGACGTAGATTAAATGAACAAAGAACAAGAGGTGACAAAGAAAAATTATTATTCAACTCCAGAAAACCAGCTGAAGAACAGAACTGGAGCCAGTCTGTACCGAGTTAAAATAGCAGGAAGGGCGAGCAAGTTCAGAGACTTAAGCGGCACAGAGAGGGGCAGACCCAGCAAGTCAAAACGGTGTGGAGACATGGACCCAGAATATTAAAACAATGCAGAGAGATGGGACCAGGTGTTTTAAAACAGCAGGGTGGTGGATCCAGGAAGGGAGCTGAGGGAGGAGCTCATCATAAACAGGGTGAGAAAACAGTGACATCATGGGAAAACCACAAGTCTATTGGTTGGTAAGGAACGGTTGCTCAATGGGTAGCACAGCCTTGGGTGACTGTCAGTGTGAAATTTGCACATTCTCCTCATGGATTTCCACTGGTGGCTCCAGTTTTCTCACAGTCCAAAGATCTGGAGGTTGGTGGATTGGCCATCCTAAATTGCCCTTCAGTGTCCAGGGATGTGCAGGTTGGGTGGATTAGCTATGTTAAATGCAGGCTTGCAAGGATAGGTTGGGGGCTTGAATCTGGTTGGGATGCTGTCCACAGGGTTGGTGTGGACTCAATGAGCCAAATTTCCTCTTTCCATACTGTAGGGATTCAATATGAATCTGCTAATTTGAATGCATATTCTAACTGGCCAGTTCTGATGAAGGGTGTCAACCTGCAATGTCGACTTTCCTGCTCCTCTGATGCTGCCTGACCTGTTGTGTTCTTCCAGTTCCACACTGTATGGGCTAAAAGATGCTGGGCCAGGTGACATGCTGTACCTGCATGGTGTGAGAACTCGTGAACCTAACTGTGGTTCACTGAGTACATCTGTAGGAAATATTGGTTGTTCTCTGGTTGAGAATTGATGAGCTCGAGTCTGTGCTTTGAACACTGTGATACATTAGGGAGGGGGAAAGTTATCTGAACATTGGTGTCTTAGGAGACAGTCACACCCCTGATATTAACTCCCCTAAATCTGGTCAGTGGTCAGGATCAGGAGGATGTGACTATCAGTGAGGGAATATGAGCAACTGAGAGCTAAATTAAAAGCAGAACCAAAAGGATAATGACCTCTAATCACTAGCCAAGCCACTAGTTAATTGCCACAGGGTCAATCAGATTAAAGAGGTAAAGGCAGAGCTGCAATATTGTTATGGGAGAAGTGGGTCCAAGTTCATGGGACATTGGTACCAGTAATGGGGAAAGAGGGAGCTGATCTGATGGGAGCAGGGGCAGGGGTAGGGAGGAAGGTAGGCAGAAAAGGTAGAAGGAAGAAGAGGAGAAGATTCAATTGCATGGAAAATTAAAATTAAATGTTAAAGGACAAGGTAAGAATGCAAGTCAGTGATGGGGCTTTCATTTTCCAAGAACAAAAATGTATGAAATGTCATATTGCATCAAAAAAGCATAAAATTATTGAGAAATTTGATAATAGAAAAAAACTTAAAGGTTTTGTATCTGAATGCATGAAACATTGAATAAAATTGAGTTAACACTCCAAATACAGATGGATGAGTATGATTTGGTTCTGATTACTGAGACGTGTTGCAGAGAGACCAGGTTTAGGAATTGAATATCTAAGAGTACCCAGTGTTTCAGAAGGATAGGCGAGATGGAAAAAGAGGTGGCATAACTTTTTTATTGAAGGATAAGACTGGAGTTGTAGTGAGAAAATGATGTAGTCTTTGTGTTGAATCTCAGGAGTTGGGAGAGATATTAAATGAATATTCTGTGTCAGTTTTTACTGTTGAGAAAGAAATGGAGGCTAGAGAACTCGGGGAAATTAATATTGATGTTTTAAAAACAGTTCACATTACAGAAGAGGAAATGCTGGGAGGTCTTAGGAAACAAAGGTAGTTAAATCTCTAGGACCTGATCAAGTGCATCCCAGGATGTTGTGGGAAGTTAGGGAGGAAACTGCCAGGCTCCAAGCAAAAATAATTGTATCATCTATGGATGATGTTCTGGAGGATGGCTAATGTTTAAGAAAGACTGTAAGAAGAAGCCTGGAAACTGGAGATCTGACAGTCTGACATTGGTGGTGGGTAAGTTGTTGGAGGTGATTCTGAAAGATAGGATTTACATGCATTTAGACAGCAAGAATTGATTAGGGGTAGTCAGCATGGTTTTGTGCAAGGAAAATTGTGTCTCACAAACTTGATTGGTTACTTCATTAAAAAAAACTCAAAAAGATTGATGAGGGCACAGCAGCATATGTTGTTTACTTGGACTTCAGTAAGGCCTTTGACAAGGTTCCACATGATAGGCTAATTACTAAAGTTAGATCACATGGGATTCAGGGTGAGCTTGCCAATTGGATACAAAATTGACTTTATGGTAGGAGACAGAGGGTAGTGGTGGATGAGAATATAAGTAGTATGGTTAGTAAGTTGCAGATGATACCAAAACTGGTGGCATAGTGGACAGTGAAGAGGGTTATCTAAGATTACAGCAAGATCTTGATCAATTGGGGCAATGGCTCAGGACTGGCAGGTGGAGTTTAATTTGGATGAATGTGAGGTATTGAATTTTGGTAATACGAACAAGGACAGGACTTATACAATTAATGGTAGGGCTCTGCGTAGTGTTGCAGAAGAGACAGACCTCGGGGTTCAGGTACATAATTCTTTGAAATTTGCACCACAAGTAGACAGGGTGGTTCAGAAGGCATTTAGCACGCTTGCCTTCAGTGCTCAGACTTTTGAGTACAGGAGTTACATTGCCATGTTGAGGTTGTACAGGATGTTGGTGAGGCCTCTTCTGCAGTACTGTGTGCAGTTCTGGTCCTACTGTTATAGGAAGGATATTATTAAACTGGAGAGAGTTCAGAAAAGATTTACCAGGATGTTGTCAGGAATTGAGGGTTTGAGATATTAAAAAAAGACTCGAAAGGCTGGGATGTTTTTCACTGGACGGTAGGAGGTAGAGGGGTGACCTTATAGAGGTTTATAAAATCATGAGGGGCATAGATAAGGTGAATAGCAAAGATCATTTCCATAGGGTGGAGAAGTTCAAAACTACGGGGCATATTTTTAAACGTGACAGAGGAGAAAGATTTAAAGGGCAACTTTTTTTTTAATAAAACAGTGGTTAGTATGTGGAATGATCCGGCAGAGAAAGTGATGGATGCAGGTACAGTTGCAATGTTTAAAAGAAATTTGGATACGTTCATGAATAGGAAAGGTTGGAGGGATATGGGCCAAGCAGAGGCAGGCAGGACTAGTTCAGGTGGGAACATAGTCGGCGTGGACTGGTTGGATTGAAGGTTCAGTTTCCATGTTATATGACTCTTATGTCTCTATAACTACAAAGTGTTAGGTGAGACCACAACAGGAATATTGCATAAAGTTTTGGTCCCCTTGAGGTGGAATGTAGTTACATTAGAGGCAGTTTAGAGGAGGTTCATTAGATTGATACCAAAACAAAAATTGCTGGAGAAACTCAAAAGGGCTGGCAGCATTTGTGGGCAGAAAGCAGAGTTAATGTTGCAAGTTTGGTGACTTTTCAATGGAACTGTTCTAAAGAGGAGTCACTGGACTAAAAAGGTGTTAACTCTGCTTTCTGTGTACATGATTAGTAAGTTTGCAGATGACAGTAAAATAGGTGGTATTGTGGACAGTGAGGAAGGTTATCAGAAATTGCAGTAGGATCTTGATCAGCTGGGGAAGTGGGCCGAGAAATGGCAAATGGAGTTTAATATAGATAAGTGTGAGGTGTTGTATTTTGGAGAGTCACGCTGAATGGTGGGGCCTTAAGGAGGGTAGTGGAACATAGGGACCTTGGAGTTCTGGTGCATGGTTCTTTGAAAGTGGAATCACAGGTAGACAGGGCAGTGAAGATGGCTTTTGGCACACTGGCATTCAGTCAGGGCACTGAGTACAGAAATTGGGAAGTTAAGTTGCAGTTGTACAGGACATTGGTGAGACTACGCTTGGAATATTGTGCTCAGTTTTGGTCACCTTGCTATAGGAAGGATGTTATTAAACTGGAAAGAATGCAGAGGAGATTTACGAGAATGTTGCCAGGACTCAAGGGACTGAGTTATAGGGAGAGGTTGGACAAGCTAGGGTTTTTTTCTTTAGAGTGTAGGAGACTGGGGAGGGATCTTACAGAAATGTATAAGATCATGATTGGCATGGGTTGTCTTTTTCCCAGGGTTGTGGAATCAAGGACTAGAGGGCATCTGTTTAAGGTAAGAGGGGAAAGAATACATGGGAACCTGAGGGGCATCTTTTTTTTTTAAAAACACAGAGGGTGGTATGCATATGGAATGAGCTGCCAGTGGAGCTGGTCAAGGCAGGTACATTAATAACATTTAAAAGGCATTTGGACAAATACGTGGATAGGAAAGCTTTAGAAGGATCTGGGCCAAGTGCAGGGAAATGGGGTTAACGTGGATGGACATTTTGATTGGCATGGAATAGTTTGGGCCAAAGGGCTTGTCTCCGTGCTGTAGGACGCTATGGCTCTATGACCTGCTGAGTTTCTCCACCAATTTCAGTTTTTGTTTCAGATCTTCAGCATCTGCTGTTCTTTATCTTATGATATTCACTCGATTGATTCCAGAGGAGAGGGGTTTGTCTTATAAGGGAGATTCAACAGTTTACGCGTAGAAGAATGAGAGAAGATCTAATGAAGGCATATCAAACGCCAAAGGGGATTGATAAGTTAGTCACAGAGAATGTTTCCTGTAGTGGGGCAATCTAGTACAAGGTTAGAATAAAGGGTAGTGGATTTAAAACAGATATGGGGAGAAATTGCTTCTCTCAAAAGGAATGTGAAACTGTGGAATTCACTACCCCAGAGTACAGTGGATGCTGGGATATTGAATAAATTTAAGGAGGTGCTAGATACATTTTTAAATTGATCAGTTTGAAGGGTCATAGAAAGACAAGAAAGTGGGAGTGGTGGCTGAGATGAGATCAGCCATGATGGTCTTGAATGGCTGAAAGGGCTTGAGGGGCTGAATTGCCTACTTTTCCTACTTCTTGTATAAACACGTATATATTTCCTGATAGAGAAATGCCTCAAAAGATATCCATCTTTTAATCCCAACAAATAATTTTAGTCAGTGTCTTTACATAGGATTCAAGTGAATCTGCAGTAATGTCCACCAATTGCAAAGTGGTGGATGAGATTCAATAATAATAATGTAGGCCTTGGAAGGGTAGACAATGAGAAGGAGGTGGCACAGACACAATGTGCTGAATGGCCTCATTATGTGCTGTCATTTTATAATTTGACGGTAAAAACTGTGACCTAAAATTGCAAAGTTCCCTGCACAAAAATGGTGTGATGAATTCCAGCCATGGTACACTGCAAGGATAAAAATTAAAATAAAAATCTTCCTGTTCATACTACCGATAGAGTATACAACGAGCAACCAGATTTTTAACAGTTGATACATCATTTGGGCAGCAACTTTGAGCCAACACAAATAAAAACACAATAAATAAATCAGTCACTTGCTTAGTAGTTTCATTTTTTGATATTGAACATCACAATTAGAAATCTTAGCATTTGTCACAAACAGCAAAATAAAAATACTTACACTGCAACATTTTCCACCTCTCCCAAACGAGCTTATATGCTTCTTTGAGATGTCAGAAATACATTATCTTTCTTAATGAAAAGCATCAGTTTAGCAAGAGTCTCAAAACAGAGAAATTCTTTTTATTGTTTCATCAGTACTAGACAGTAAAAATAATTCATTTCTGAAAAACTCACTCTTTTATATAATTCTGTTAGCTTGAAGTAGAAGAGTCGACAGGACAGGCAGCCAAATCGAAGGTAGGGACTGAGGCCTGTGGGACTTGCCAGTAGTGATAAGGCATTCATTCTGGGCTTTTCAAAATTAGCTACCCATGCCTACAGAAAAATAAAGTGATAAACTGTCACATTGTACAGATTAAGTGTCTATTCTGAAGAGCTCCAACCTCTGCTAACACCACTAGGCACTCACAAGGTGACCTACTCATTTTGACATGTTTTTTGAAAAGCTTTCTGCTTTTTGGCTGGAATTGTTCTGAAACTACTTGGCTAATCCAAGTAGAGTTTTGGAGGTTGAAAAAAATCAGAGTATAAAGATTTAAAAGGTCAGAAATCATATGACACCAGGTTATAGACCAACAGGTTTATTTGAAAATACAACCTTTCAGAGCGGAGCCCCTTTGTCAGGTGAAGTGAGAAAGAAGCACACAGAACACAGAATTTGTAAGTAAAAGATCAAAGGGTCACACAACTGATGACGATGTATTAAACAAACCTAAGTTCCTGTTTATTCTTTAATCAGTTAGAAGGCTTCAATTGTAATTATAAATTGTGTTCTGTTTGCTTCTTTTTCACTTCACCTGAAGGGGATAGGCTCTGAAAGCTTGTGTTTTCAAATAAACCTGTCGGACTATAACCTGGTGTTATGTGATTTCTGACCTTGTCCACCCCAGTCTCATACCAGCACCTCCACATCAAAGATTTAAAAGGCTTTTCACTTGCCTTTCTTTCCAAATGTCTCTCCAGACGAGTTAAAGCCTCAGTTTCTCCACCTGGCCACACAGCAGAAGGCAGACCTTCGGTATCAAAGCCTAGTCAGACAGATGGTCAGGCATCAATGCAGTTGGACAAGTATCCAGGATTCAACTTGTGGCTAAATAATTAATTTGGTTTTGGCTTTTATGATTGGACAAACACATTATTCAATTACTATATTCAATACCTCATTAAGCAGTTATTAAAAATTAAAACAGTTGCCTTTTTGTTCTGCACAGATGTTTACTATTTTAGAGATAGTCTGGATGTCTCCCACATCTCCCGCACCTCATCCCTCACACCCCGTCCACGCAATAAAAACCAAAAAAGAATCCCCCTTGTCCTCACGTACCACCCCACCAACCTCCGGATCCAACGCATCATCCTCCGACACTTCCGCCATCTGCAATCCGACCCCACCACCAAAGACATCTTTCCCTCCCCACCTTTATCTGCTTTCCGGAGGGACAACTCTCTCCGTGACTCCCTTGTCCGCTCCACACTCCCCTCCAGCTCCACCACACCCGGCACTTTTCCCTGCAACCGCAGGAAGTGCTACACCTGCCCCCATACCTCCTCCCTCACCCCCATCCCAGGCCCCAAGAAGACTTTCCACATCAAGCAGATGTTCACCTGCACATCTGCCAATGTGGTATACTGCATCCGCTGTACCCGGTGTGGCTTCCTCTACATCGGGGAAACCAAGCGGAGACTCGGGGACCGCTTTGCAGAACACTTACGCTCGGTTCGCAACAAACAACTGCACCTCCCAGTCGCGAACCATTTCAACTCCCCCTCCCATTCCTCAGACGACATGTCCATCCTGGGCCTCCTGCAGTGCCACAACGATGCCACCCGAAGGTTGCAGGAACAGCAACTCATATTCCGCTTGGGAACCCTGCAGCCCAATGGTATCAATGTGGATTTCACAAGTTTCAAAATCTCCCCTCCCCCCACCGCATCCCAAAACCAGTCCAACTCGTCCCTGCCTCCCTAACCTGTTCTTCCTCCCACCTATCCCCTCCTCCCACCTATCCCCTCCTCCCACCTCAAGCCGCACCTCCATCTCCTACCGACCAACCTCATCCCGCCCCCTTGACCTGTCCGTCCTCCCTGGACTGACCTATCCCCTTCCTAACTCCCTACCTACACTCACCTTTCCTGGCCCCATCCCCGCCTCTTCGACCTGTTTGTTTCCTCTCCACCTATCCTCTCCTCTATCCCTCTTCTATCCGCCTCCCACTCTCTCCCTATTTATTTCAAAACCCCCTTCCCCTCCCCCTTTTCTGATGAAGGGTCTAGGCCCGAAACGTCAGCCTCTCTGCTCCTATGATGCTGCTTGGCCTGCTGTGTTCATCCAGCCCTGCACCTTGTTTACTATTTTAGCTTTGTTAAGCTAATAGACAGCAATAGTTCAAAACAAAAGGCTCCAAAGTTAAATGTAGAATCAGTATGCCATTTGATCACTCAAACCTGTTCTCTGCCGTTCAACAAGATCATGGCCAGAGTTCAAATCCTACCTGGTTTTACCTCCGATCCCTTACTACCTATTGGTTAGTGAGACAAACCTATCTGTCTCAGATTTAATACTTAGTGAGGAAGGTTCCTCATTTGTCCCACCATTTGTGTAAGTATGTTGCCTAACTTTGGACCTGAAAAGTCTGGTTTGAATTTTTATGTATGTCCTCTGGTCTTATACTACACAAGTTAAGTAGTTTCTGTCTCTATATTCTGCCTATTCGCTGTAAAAACCATGAAAATGTAAATCAAATCAACCCTTATCTTTCTATTACAGTGAATGCACAACCAGTTTAGCTGATTCCGACTCATAAGTTAACCCTTGCAATCAGTAATTATAAGCTATATCCTGCTATAAACAAAACATGCACCCTGCAGTTTGCTTCCAAAATCTCAATCCTTTACTCCAAGAGTTGTCTGATGTAACATAATTCTTGTATTCTAGTCCTACGGATCACTGGACTAGTAAATTAGAGATCCACGTTAAAGGATACGGATATAAATCCTAACAATGGCAGCTAGTGAAATTTGAAATGACAATTATGGACATAAAGTGAGTTTCATCGTCAAAATTAATAAGACTATTATGGATTGTTGTTAAAAAGTCCTATTTGACTCAGTGATGGTCGTTAGGGAAAGTAAGATCTGCTACCCTTGCTCTGTCTGGCCAACATGCATTTCCAGATCCACAGCACTTTGGTTTTCTCTTAATGGTTTAGCAATTGAGTCAGTTCAAGGCCAACTAGGGATGGGAAACAAATTCTGGTTTTATCAGCAATATCGACACCCCATGAAAGATCTAAAACCCATCACTACATTGCCCTTTTTAATTACGCTTAAGATATTTTAACAATCTACGTACATTTGCATCCTTTCCCTCCCCTACCTGCAAGAAGTTCATTGGACTTCCACTGTTTCCAGCTTTCCACCATTTAGAAAATATTCTGTTTTGCTCCTTTTAGTAAAAATGAATTATCTAATATTTGCCAACATTACACAGAAACCATGAACAAAAAAAACTGGAAGAACTGTGGAGGCTAGAAATCAGAAACAAAAACACAAGTTGCTGGAAAATTTCAGCAGGTCTGGCAGCATCTGGGAGAGAAATCAGAGTTAATGTTTCAGGTCCAGTGACCCTTCAGTTCTGAAGAAGGGTCATTGGACCCAAAACGTTGATTCTGACTTCTCTCCACAGATGCAGCCAGACCTGCTGAAATTTTCCAGCAATTTCTGTTTTTATCGAAACTGAAATCCTGTGCTTGTTTAATTTTTTGAGAAAATTGTTCACAGTGCATGTTCATCGCTGTTCCTAATTATCCTTCAGTAGAATCGCTGTTCCCAATTATACTTAAGCCATTATCATGATCCATTGAGTTCCTTGTGGTGTAGGTACAATTTCAGTACTGTTATGAGTGGGTGTTCCAGACTCTGCCCAGTAACAGTGAACTAATAGTAATAGAAAACAGACACATACTGAGGAGCAGACATCATGGAAGGATTAAAAACCAAAAGAACTGCTATAAATCAGGAACAAAAACAAAGTTGCTAGAAAAGCTCAGCAGGTCTGGCAGCATCTGTGAAGGAAAAAACAGAGTTAACGTTTTGGGTCCGGTGACCCTCAGAACTCAGTTGACTTCCTCAGTTCTGCGAAGGTTCACCGGACCCAAAACGTTAACTCTGTTTTTCCCTTCACAGATGCTGGCAGACCTGCTGAGCTTTTCCAGCAACTTTGTTTTTGTTCCTGGAAGGGTCGTCAGTCAGTTGACAAACTCAGAGCAAGTCTGTGCCACAGCCTTAACATGTTGTGGGTGGGCTAAATTAACTTGATAGATGTTGGCTTATCTGATTGGCCAGCAACTCCAGCTGTACCAGAGCTTGGTGACAGGCACTGCTGGGACAGCAACCGGCCACAGTATGGGAGTCCTACTGGCTGCCAGACCAAGGCAGTAAGGGATAATGGGTGGGAAGATCTGACAACGTTATGAAGGGGAGCAAAGGGTAGGTTTTAAAGTCCCTGTAGGGAGGAAAGATAGGAGATTGTCACCAATGTGCAAAGGACACAATCTGAAGATGACATTCCCCTTCCTTTCCACACTTTGAAAACTTTCAGAACAAAAAAATCTGCTCATTCTCAGGAACCTCAACTGTGTTATAGTGTGGGACGGATAATAAATGGGCAGTTGAGCTTTTAACAAGCAAGGATGAGCTTACTTACAGATGTGGGGAAGGGCTCCTATGGTACAGCGGTAGTACCCTACCTATGGAGTCTCACTTGCTCCAGAGATATGTCACAACATGTGTGAACAGGCTGGTTAAAAGTATCTACATATGGTGGGCAGGCTGCAGATTTGGGCTTCTACCCAACACCTACTGTGGGGTGAGTGGGAAGGTGATGAGCTGGGAACCAGCCAGTGTTCAAAACACATGTGGGTGGTAGACAGCATGGTAGCTGTTAGCAGGGCCAGAGCAAGTGGGGTAGAAATAGGAAGCAACACCACTGAGCCAGAAGCTGCACGAGTTGGGGGATAGGAAGCAAAGGTCTCAACTTTCCTACAGAAGAATATTTTGCTAATTGGGAACAGGAAAACTGATAGTGAATTCCTTGCAAATTAATGCAGAGTCTCTAGATTAAAGCTGAAAGGCTTCAGGAACTATTATACTGGAAGAAAATGGATGTGATAATAGTGATGACTGTCAATTATGTAATTTAACATTAAACAGTTTTAATACATAAATGCAAGTCTTTATGAAATATTATAATTCAAAGAAACTTGCATACTGTCCATGCCTAATGTTCCAGAGTATAGATGCTATAGGAAGGATAGAAGATGGGGTAAGACAGTTGGGGCAATGGCGTTTTTGGTTAAGGATAACATTAAAGTTGCACTAAAGGAGGATATTTCTGGGAGAATGTACAGTGAAGTTATATGGTGGAACTGAGAAATAAGAAAGGATGATCATCTTATTGGGATTGTGCTGGAAGCACCCAAATAGTCAGCGTGAAATTGAGAATCAAATGTGTAAGGAGATCTCAGATATCTATATGAATAATAGGGCTGTAATATTAGGGGATTACAACTTTTCAAATAATAGGCCGGGACCACCATAGTGTTAAGAGCTTGGATGGAGAGGAATTTGTTCAGTGTGCAAAAGAAATTTTTTCTTTGTTCAATAGGTGGATGTGCCTACTAGAGAAGGAGCAAGTCCATACCTTCTCTTGGGAAATAAGGCAGGGCAAATTACTGAGGTGTCAGTGGGGGAAGCACTTTGGGGCAAATGATCATAATTCTATTAGATTTTAAATAGTTATGGAAAAGAATAGAACTGATCTAAAAGTTAAAGTTCTAAACTGAAGGAAGGCCAATTTTGACAGTATAAGATGAGAACATTCAAAAGTCGATTACAAGAGGCCATTCGCGGGTAAAGTGGGAGCCACTCAAAAATGAGACAAAGAGAGTTCAAAGACAGTACGTTCCTGTTAGTGTAAAGGGCAGAGGATGGTAGATGTAGGGAATGCTGGATGACGAGAGAAGTTAAGGCTCTGGTTAAGAAAAAGGAGACACATGTCAGGTATAGACAGCTAGGATCAAGGTGAATCACTAGAGCAGCAGGAGCATACTTAAGAGGGAGATCTGGAGGGCAAAAAAGGGACATGAGATAGCTTTGGCAAATAGGGCTAAGGAGAATCCAAAGAGATTCTACAAGCACATTAAGGGCAAAAGAGTAACTAGGGAGAAAATAGGGCTCTTAAAGATCAACAAGGCTATCTATGTGTGGAACCACAGGAGATGGGTTAGATACTAAATGAATATTTTGCATCAGTATTTACTGTGAAAAAGAACATGGAAGCTAGGGAACTTGGGGAAAATAAATAGTAATGTCTTAAAAAGTGTGCAATTTACAGGAGAAAACATTTAAATGTAGATAAATCCCTGGAACTTGATCAGGTGTATCCTAAAACTTTGTGGGAAACTAGGGAAGAGATTATTGAGATATTAGTATCATCGTCAGCCATGGGTGTGGTGCTGGAAGACTGGAGAGTGGCTAATGTGCTGCCTTTATTTAAGAAAGGTGGTAAGGAAAAGCCAGGGAACTATAGACCGATAAGCATGATGTCAGTAGTTGGTAAGTTGTTGCAGGGAATTCTGAGGGTTAGGATTTACATGCATTTGGAAAGGCAAAGACTGATTAGGGATAGTTAACACGGCCTTGTCCGTGGGAAATCATGTCTCACTAACTTGATTAAGTTTTTTGAAGCGGATACAGGAAGATTCATGGAGGCAGTGCAGTAGATGTTGTCAATCTGGACTTCAGCAAGGCGTGTGAAAAAGTTCCGCATGGTAGATTGGTTAACAAGGTTGGATCACATAGAATCCGGGGGCAGGGGGAAACCAGATTGGATATAAAATTGGCCTGAATGCAGGTGACAGAGGGTAGTTGTGAACAGTTATTTTTCAGACTGGAGGCCTGTGACCAGTGGTGTGCTGCAAGGATCAGTGCTAGGTCTACTGCTTTTCATCATTTATATAAATGATTTGGATGTGCATATTGGAGGTATGATTAGTAAGTTTACAGAAAACATGAAAATTGGTGGTGTAGTAGACAGTGAAGAAGGTTATCTCAGAGTACAATGGGACCTTGATCAATGGACTGAGCAGTGGCAGATGGAGTTTAATGTAGATAAATGTGAAGTGTTGCATTTTGTTAAGGCAAATCGGGGCTAGGCTTATGCAGTTAATGGTAGGGCCCTGGAGAATGTTTCTGAACAAAAAGACCTAGGGGTGCAGGTGCAAAGTTCCTGGAAAGTAAAGTTGCAGGTAGACAGGGTGGTGAAGGCAGCTTTTGGCATGCTTGCCTTCATTGGTCAAACCATTGAGAAAGGAGTTGGGATGTCATGTTGGAGCTGTTCAGGACATTGGTGAGGCCACTGCATTCAATTCTGGTTGCCCTTCTATAGGAAAGATGTTGTTAAACTTGAATGAGTTCAGAAAAGATTTACAAGGATGTTGATCGGATGAGGGTTTGAGCTATAGGGAGAGGCTGAATAGGCTGGGGCTTTTCATCCTGGAATGTCAGAGGCTGAAGGGTGACCTTATCTAGGTTTATAAAATCATGAGGGGCATGGATAGACTGAATAGCCAAGGTTGTTTTCCCAGGGTATGGGAGTCCAAAACTAGAGGGCACATGTTTAAGGTGAGAGGGGAAAGATTTAATAGGGACTTGACTGGCAAACGTTTCATGCAAGAGGTGGAGTGTGCATGGAATGAGCTGCCAGAAAAGATGGTGGAGGTAGGTACAATGCAACACTTAAAAGGCATCTGGATGGGTACATGAATAGGAAGGGTTCAGAGGGATATGGGCCAAGTGCTGGCAAATGGGATTAGATCAGTTTAGGATATCTGGTTGGTGCAGGCGAGTTTAACCAAAGGGTCTGGTTTCCATGCTGTAGAATTCTATGACTCCATGACTTGAGGTGCAATGACAGTCAGGTGCGTTAGAAACAAACATGTAATAGTTTCTGTGATCTCATGGTAATTCCAATATTTTTATGTCAAATTACTAAAATTTCTTACTTTATGTTTCTGTCTCTAATGTTACTAAGTTATGTGTATCATCCACAAACTTGAATATGTGGGTTTCTACACCATCATGAATCATTACTGAAAATGGTCAATAGTGGAGCCTTCATATATCCCTATGGAAAACCACTAGACACATCCTCTCCACTATCACCACCATGTATCCTTTGCTCAGCCAATTTCCACATCAATCAAAAAGGTAGGGAGATGGTAGCATAGTAGTAATGTCACTGAACTAGTAATCCAAAGGTGCAAGTTAATGCTTTATTGAGGTGGGAATGAGAGAAGGCAAGATAGATTAAAAAAGGAGGCTCTATCGCAGCTAAATAATGAATATGCATACCAAGCTCTTCCAAGGACGGAACTCCATATTTCTCATTATGATCATCCAATACCAATATTGTAGACTTCCCAAGACTTCTCTCACTAATAGTTTCCACTGGTGGCTCTGGAGAGTCCATCTGGCTGATCAAAGTCTGGAATCGTTTATATGTTAGTGGGGGTTGTCCTCCATTCAATTCAATTATTCTGGAAGAGAGAAAACAAAGAATTTGGCAAACAAAGAAGTTCAGTATTTTAGATTACATTAACTGATCTTTCCCATTATCTACTTTGAAAAGTAGAGAAAGGTGTTTGAAGTGTGAAACGTCATGCTCAATATGCCAAAATATGTCCAGCTATTCCATTACAACTACAACACTGAAAACTACCCAGCAGTGTGAGAAATTGTCTAGGTATGTATCATATACAAAAAGCAGGACAAGACCAACCTGGACAAGACCACAGCGCCATCAGTCAAGTGATGGAAGTTGTTATCAACAATGCTATCACTCAACACTTGCTTAACAACAACCTGCTCACTGACACTCAGTTTGGGTGCCACCAGGGCCACTTTGCTCCTGACCCCCACTATCAACATCCTGGGGTTTACCATCGACCAGAAACTCAACTGGACTTGTCCAATAAATAGTGGTGGTTCAAATCTGCGTACTCACTTCATAACATTTTAGGGTCTGGTGACAAAGTGTTTGTGTCCCTCCCTCTGAGTCATGAGGCCTGGGTTCAAGTCCCAGCTGCTCCGGATGTGTGTAATAAAAAGTCTTGGAACAAGTTGATTTTTAAAAAAATTATAAAGTTTGGCTACAAGAGCAGGCCAGAGGCTATGAATACTACACCAAGTAACTCACCTCCTGACTCCCGGAAGACTGCCCACCATCCAAAAGGCGGAAGTCAGGAGTGTAATGGAATACATCCTGCTTGCCTGGATGACTGCAACTCCAACGACACTCAAGAAGCTTGACACCATCCAGGACAAAGCAGTCCACTTGATTGGCACCACTTCCACAAACATCCACTTTCTCCACCACTTATGTCCAGTATATCCTACCGCAGAATTTCAGAGACACTGAGACAGCACCTTCCAAGCCTATAACCATGTCCATCTAGAAGGGCAGCAGATACATGCCATTATCACCAGCAAGTTCCCCTGCAAGCCACTCACCATGCTGACTGAGAAATTTATCCTGGTTCCTTCACTGTTGTTTGGTCAAAAATTGACTTCAGGAAGCAGAGTGCAGGAGACACCCCTGTCTGTATCAGTGGCGTTGAGATGGAGATGGTCAATAGCTTCAAGTTCTCACCAACATAAATATCACCAACAATCTGTCCTGATCCATCCACGTACAGTCAAGCAAACACACCAATGTCTCTACTTCATCAGAAGGCTAAGGAAATTCGGCATGTTCACAATGAGTTTAACCAATTTTTATAGACGGACCATAGAAAGCATCTTACTTGGATATACCACAGCTTGGTATGGCAAATGCTCTGCCCAAGACTGCAAGCAATTACATAGAATTGTGAACACAGCCCAGTCCATCAGGCAAGCAAGCCTTTCTTCCACTGACTCAATCTATTCTTTTCGCTGCCTTGGGAAAACTGCCAACATAATTATAGAGATAGTAGGAACTGCAGATGCTGGAAAATCTGAGATAACAAGATGTAGAGCTGGATGAACACAGCAGGCCAAGCAGCATCATAGGAGCAGGAAGGCTGACGTTTCGGGCCTAGACCCTTTTTCAGAAATGGGGAAGGGGAAGGGGGTTCTGAAATAAATAGGGAGAGAGGGGGAGGCGGAAAGAAGATGGATAGAGGAGAAGATAGGTGGAGAGGAGACAGACAGGTCAAAGAGGCAGGGATGGAGCCAGTAAAGGTGAGTGTAGATGGGGAGGTAGGGAGGAGATAGGTCAGTCCAGAGAGGATGGACAGGTCAAGGGGCGGGATGAGGTTAGTAGGTAGGACATGGGGGTGCGGCTTGAGGTGGGAGGAGGGGATAGGTGGGAGGAAGAACAGGTTAGGGAGGCGGGGACGAGCTGGGCTGGTTTTGGGATGCAGTGGGGAAAGGGGAGATTTTGAAGCTTGTGAAATCCACATTGATACCATTGGGCTGTAGGGTTCCCAAGCGGAATATGAGTTGCCGTTCTTGCAACCTTCGGGTGGCATTGTTGTGGCACTCCAGGATGGACATGTCGTCTAAGGAATGGGAGGGGGAGTTGAAATGGTTCGCGACTGGGAGGTGCAGTTGTTTATTGCGAACCGAGCGTAGGTGTTCTGCAAAGCGGTCCCCAAGCCTCCGCTTGGTTTCCCCGATGTAGAGGAGGCCACAACGGGTACAGCGGATGCAGTATACCACATTGGCAGATGTGCAGGTGAACATCTGCTTGATGTGGAAAGTCTTCTTGGGGCCTGGGATGGGGGTGAGGGAGGAGGTGTGGGGGCAGGTGTAGCACTCCCTGCAGTTGTAGGGAAAAGTGCCGGCTGTGGTGGGGCTGGAGGGGAGTGTGGAGCGGACAAGGGAGTCACGGAGAGAGTGGTCCCTCCGGAAAGCAGATAAGGGTGGGGAGGGAAAAATGTCTTTGGTGGTGGGGTCGGATTGCAGATGGCGGAAGTGTCGGAGGATGATGCGTTGGATCCGGAGGTTGGTGGGGTGGTACGTGAGGACGAGGGGGATTCTTTTTTGGTTGTTATTGCGGGGACGGGGTGTGAGGGATGAGTTGCGGGAAATGCGGGAGACACGGTCGAGGGCATTCTCGACCACTGAGGGGGGGATGTTGCGGTCCTTGAAAAACGAGGACATCTGAGATGTATGGGAGTGGAATGTCTCATCCTGGGAGCAGATGCGGCAGAGGCGAAGGAATTGGGAATAGGGGATGGCATTTTTGCAGGAAGGTGGGTGGGAGGAGGTGTATTCTAGGTAGTTGTGGGAGTCGGTGGGCTTGGAATGGATATTGGTTTCTAGGTGGTTGCCCGAGATGGAGACAGAGAGGTCTAGGAAGGTGAGAGAGGTTTAGAGATGGTCCAGGTGAACTTAAGGTTGGGGTGGAAGGTGTTGGTGAAGTGGATGAACTGTTCGAGCTCCTCGTGGGAGCACGAGGCGGCGCCGATACAGTCATCAATGTAACGGAGGAAGAGGTGGGGTTTAGGGCCAGTGTAGGTACGGAAGAGGGATTGTTCCACGTAACCTACAAAGAGGCAGGCATAGCTTGGGCCCATGCGGGTACCCATGGCCACCCCCTTTGTCTGTAGGAAGTGGGAGGAATTGAAAGAGAAGTTGTTGAGGGTGAGGACGAGTTCGGCTAAGCGGATGAAGGTGTCAGTGGAGGGGGACTGGTCGGGCCTGCGGGACAGGAAGAAGCGGAGGGCCTTTAGGCCATCTGTATGGGGAATGCAGGTGTATAGGGACTGGACGTCCATGGTAAAGATGAGGTGTTGGGGACCGGGGAATTGGAAGTTCTGGAGGAGGTGGAGGGCGTGGGTGGTGTCATGGACGTAAGTAGGGAGTTCCTAGACCAAGGGGGAGAGAATGGAGTCCAGATAGGTGGAGATAAGTTCGGTGGGGCAGGAGCAGGCAGAGACAATGGGTTGACCAGGGCAGTCAGGTTTGTGGATTTTGGGAAGGAGATAGAAGCGGGCGGTGCGGGGTTGGGGAACGATGAGGTTGGAGGCCATGGGTGGGAGGTCACCTGAGGTGATGAGGTTGTGGATGGTTTGGGAGATGATGGTGTCAGCCTTCCTGCTCCCATCATGCTGCTTGGCCTGCTGTGTTCATCCAGCTCTACACCTTGTTATCTAACATAATTATAGACCCCTCCCATCTTGGTTATACTCTCTTCCCCACCCGCTTTCATCAGAGAGAAGATAGAAAAGTTTGAAAACACGTACCAACAGATTCAAGAACAGTTTCTTACCAGATGTTATAAGACTTACGACACATATTCGAGTAGATCTTTCTCTGCACCTTTGTTGTAGCTGTAACACTATGTTCTGCATTCTGTTCTATTACCCTGATGTACTTATGTAAGGTATGTTTGTCTGAATAGCATGCAAAACAATACTTTTCACTGTACTTCGGTACAACAGATGGAATCAAATCCTGGAATTCCATCCCCAACCATACTGTAGGTCAACCTATGGCATGTGAACTGTAGAGGTTCAAGCTGGCAGCTCCCTACCACCTTCTCAAGGGCAATGAGAAGCAACACCCACGTCCTACAAGCAATTTGAAAAAAAAAATCCCCAAATCCAGCTTCTGGTTGCCTAACAAAGTGTATACTTTCATTCCACAACGTGGCACAGTTAAGGAATAGCAACATCTTGGTAGGTTTCACAAACGACAGAAATGGAAAACACTGGAAATACTTGCCAGTCAGGTGACATTTGTGGAGCGCTAAAGCGTTAACTTTTCAGGTTGATGACTTTGTTCCATTTCTCTCCTTTTCCATTTATAACAGGTTTAAGTACAAAAGCAGGGAAGAGGTGGGAAAGAAATTGGAAGTTGTGAGATAAAGTGAAAGTTTGGAATTACTCAGTGATGAAAGGAATGATGGTTCAAGGCAAAGGAGATGATAACTGGACTGATGAAACACAAGATGAGGTCTTGATTCTTTCTAATATTATCTTAATATTTTATTTCATGATATTGCCAGCATTGAACTAACTGTTCAGCAGTTACCAACAGAAACCCTGCATGACTTACTGTAAAAAGATTTGGATTTAAAGCCACAGCAGAAAGACAGTCATAAAAGTCTGACTTTACCAATATTATGATGGCTATAGTAATGTTTATGGACTTGAGCTTAAGGATAATGGAGACATCTGGATTAACTTTTTTTTTTAAAAAAGAGGTCAATATAAAGATTTTTCCTAAAAGGCATTTCTTGGTAACCACATGGTTCCAGATAATTATTGGTCTTGGTTACTTGAACTCACTTCAAGGAAAACAGGTGACATTTTTATTGCCATCTTGTTTGAGAAGTGTTTTGCTCAGATTTGGAATTTTAGCTGTGTTCAGAAAGGAGATTGAAAAATAAATATGAGAAGCAGAGAGGGGTTATGAAAAGAAGTTATCACATAACAAAGGAAAATCTCAAAGACTTTGAAAACTTCTATAAAAGGATGGTGAAAGGAATGGTATGACTAACTAATGACCAAACAGGGGATTTACACAGAAGCAAGAGAAATGCAAGAATAAAGGCAAGAGAGGTTTGATGAGGGTAAGGTTGTTATGTGGGGTACATGGACTGTTTGATATAAATTCACACAAACTTGAGGAAAATTACAGATCAACGAGACAGTAGCAACATGGACACAGAATTGCTGGAGGATGAGAAAAAGAGTAATGGACACCTTTTGGGAAGGAAGGATATTTGTAATGGAGTTCCCAAGGAGTTGGTATTGGGATTCTTGCTTTTCCTCTCTATAAATAAATGATCTAAATCAAAGTGTGCAGAGTTCAAAGTTTGCAGACACACAAAACTGGAGCGAATGGTAAACAGTGACGAATAAAAAGTGTAGAACTTCAAAAGGATATTGACACCTTGTGGAGTGGATAGATAGGTGGCAGATGAAATTCAATGTGGAGAAATGTGAAGTGATGCAATTTGGTACAAAGTACATGACAAGACAGTATAAAATAAAAGGTGCTACTCTAAAATGATGTACAGGAGCATGTACGTGTACATTAATCATTAAATGTGGCAGGACAGGTAGGGAGGTGCTGTTAATAAAGCATACAGTGCTCTAAGCTATATAATTGGGGCACAGATTACAAAAAAAAAGTAGGTTATAATGAACTTATAGAAGATACTCAGCATAGGGTGCCACACTGTGGAATGATGTGTTTGCATTGGAGTGAGTGCAGATTAGGTTTATGACAATAGTTCCATGGGTGAGATTTTGGTTATAAGGAAAGATTGGAGAATTTGGGACTAATTTCCTTGGAGAGAAGGCTAAGAGGAAATCTGAGAAGTTTTCAAAATATGGGGGAAGGGTAGAGTAAATGAGGGAACTGTTCCCACTCATAACGGATTGAAAAACTAAAAGGCAGAGTTTCCTGGAAGAGTGGTGAAGGCACGTTCAATTGAGGCATTCAAGAGGGCAATTAAATAGAGATGACGTACAGGAAAGTGGCAAGAGATTAACAGTGCCAAAGTGTTCAGAGAACCAGTGCAGACACAATGAGCTGAATTAATTCCTTCTGCATTCTAACAGTTCTGAGATTCTGTGAAGGTTAGAAAAAGAGGAAGATACTGGCATGTTACAGAAACAGAGAAGGAAAGAAAGAAGAAAAGCTCTTCTTTGACTTGAGGTAACCCAAGGATGCCAGTATGAAAAATACTTAGACAAGATCACAGATATTCACAACTGGATGACAGGATCAACCTATTGGTGAATGGAGTGTATTTATCTCAGGTTCCAATTATTTGAATCATTGCACAGCACTGAAACCTACTAATGATACTGTAAAATATTTGACATTGTACTCCAGTTGCAGAGTTCAGACATTCATTAGAACATTTTAAAATCTTTGGAATCTTGCTTGCACCTTATTTCCATCACAATAGGTCGGATAGTTTTAACTTTACAGTACCGTAGTTAATTATTACTCAATTAATTTAAATATTTAACAGAGTACATACTTATCTAGGTCATACAATGTGTGTGAAATCTTGACAATGACCTCAACTCCAGCTTCACTAGCCAGCTTCTTAATGGCTGCATCGCGTTCCTTACCAAACGGCTCAGAATCATATTCGAATGTCAAACGGTTAATATTCCATTCCTGTTAGATTAAGGGTAATGAATCTGTTAGAACATCATAAATTACTGTCTTACTGATAATTTCCCTCATAAAATCAAAGTTCAATACCTTGCACTTGGACACTTAAGTAATTGGATCATGACTGCTTATTTGTAAGATTTAGCGACCAGAGGAATTAATCCAGTTCCCTGCAATCAAAAACTTGCTCATCTTAGTCTAGGATAAGTCAAAATTAAAATTCTCCCTAGGTAAAGTTACGTGAACCTGCTGATAAGATTACTTGGGATATTATTTTCCTCATTGTAGTTTGTTGGAAAGCAAGACTTGACTATTATACAAACACTGACTGTTGTCAAGTTATTGAATAATTTGTATCTTGTTTTCTCTCAAAATGCTTCAGTCTATCTCTAGAAAGATTGGAAAACTACATAATAACCAGTTCATCCTCATCCAATATTCATTGGAATCAATGATAATTAAGAGTAATACAGGTGCTACTGATATCATGGTGTTCGGTTTTGACATACATCACACTTGGTCTCCTTTGTAAGCTACAGAATCTTCAGTGATTTTTTTTCCAATTTTTATTGCAAAGGCACTGAGAGGATACCATTGTTTTGCAGTTCCTGACAGCAAGGAAAGAAATCATCCAAACCTTCCAATCCCTAGTTCAATTGATGCTAGAATTTTGCTGATGCTGTGTCATTTACCAGGCCACTAGCTGCTAAATCCTCTACTTACAGCTACCAAAGTTGTTTATCTTCAAGGAAACCACAGTTGTTATTCTGAAGTTGGAAATTACACGATAGACTCTTGAATTTTAACACCAAATGGGCAGGGTACTGAACTGGAATCTTGCATTCTGTTAAAATCATATCTTGTGCTCAAAGGACAAGACAAACTATTTAGTGCCAAGCCCTGTCAAAATGATCTAGCAATATAAAAATATAAAAGATATTGAAAATGGGAGGCTACTCTGACCCACACAAAGGATGAGTCAACTTAAATACCAATGGTATCTCAGACCGGAAGTCGGCAATGGTGACTCCGAAAAGTCAATCTTCCAAAATGAACACTAAAACCTCATTTTAACGTTTTGGAAACTTTCCTAACAGGTTAAAAACAAAACTTCACTAGGTTCTTTACTGATCTACGAAAAATATATGGTATATGCTAATTAGAAGAACTAAGTTCACAAATTCTTAGCTATTATCACTTGAATCATAGTAAAATAATTACAAAATAAATAGAATGCAAACTTTGGAACTTCAAAGAAATATTTTGAAAATAAACAAAGGTAGAGCTAAGCTTAGTTACTGTACATTTACAGGTGCATACTAGTTGCAGATACTGCATATAATTCACAAGAACTTGCCTTAAAAAGCCTTGGAAAGACATCAGCAGGTTGCCCACGTATCACAAAAAGCCGGGAGTTTAGCTCCACAAGACTAGCATCTAGATCTTCTAAGCACTGCAGCAGGAATCTGATGGATAGAAAGACAATTTGATTCCTTTCTTGTATTTTGGAAACTGAAGGAAAACATAATGTTAGTCTAATAATCATTACAGTCTGTGCAGAGCACAGAAAGGAAAAATGATGTGGACACGTTGTAAGTAGACCCTAGTGACACTCCTTCTGTTGAAGTGTTTAAAAAAAGGCAGGTTCTGTTGTTTGCATGCCCTGTTCCACACTGTATTTTCCACTTTGCACTTCCCGCTGCAGAAAAATTTCTCCGTGTGTATCCTAGGCCCAATCATCTTTATCAATGACATTTTATCATAAAGGTCAAAAGTAGGGATATTCACCAACAACTGCAAAAGCAAGTTCCAACTTCTCTTCCTAGCAGTAAATAACATTTGTGCCAAAAAGTGCCTGATAATGAGCATTTCTAACAAGCGATAATCAAATCATCTGCCCTTGATATTCAATGTGGTGACCATTACTGAATATTGCAACAGGATTCTGGAAGTGACAATTGATCAAAAACCTCTTATGGTAAAGCTGCAAGATGTCAAATGCACATCCTAGTTAGGCAGAAAAGTCAAAGCACCATATTATTAATCCATATATTTTGAATCCCAAAGTTAAATATCTTGTAGGCCATGTTCATTCACAACATGGTTAACAATTGATCTCGGTGACCAGAGTGAAATAAAGCACATGACTTTAGAATCATAGAAACCTTACAGCGTGGAAAGAGGCCATTCAGCCCATTCTTGCCCCCCCCTGTCCAAAGATCATCCCATCCAAACCCAGATCCCTACACTATCTCCAAAACCCACATTTACAATGGTTACTCCACTTAGCATGCACATTCCTGGACGCTAGAGAAAATTTAGCAAGGCCAATCCACCTAATCTGCATATCTTTAGACTGTGGGAGGAAACTAAAGGACCTGGTGGACATCCACAGACATAGGAAAAATGTCTGTATGGAGTCTGCACAGTGTCACCCAAGACTGGACTTGAACCAGAGTCTCTGGCACTGTTAGGCAGTGCTAAATCACTGCGAAACTGTGCTGCTTATTTTAACGAAACACCCCAGATGGGACATGAACCCACATTCCCTGGTTTAGAAGGCCAGACCTCAATATGTTTGTTTTGTTGCAGGGAAAGGGTCCAGTGTATATCCATCCAAGAAACGTAAATTGTCATGTTGAGTTTGACTGATTATCTTGAATTGGTTGATATTCAAGCCAGTAGTGCACTCAGTTCTTCTTCAAGAAATTCCCAATAGCGGAATTACATCTAACGATAATTCAGATCAAATTATCCATGCCAAATGACTCTTTTCTGTTTTCAACTTCTCAATTTATTTTATAGTCTTCCCTCTGCAAATACATTGAACTTTCATGCAGTTCTTAAAACATTACAAATGTTTTAGCCACCTGGTTCTGCATTTATTCATTTTGATTTGTTTTATGCTCAGTTTATTACTGGGTGACATGTCCATCCTGGGCCTACTCCAGTGCCACAATGACACCACATGCAAACTGGAGGAGCAACACCTCTTATTCCGCTTCGGGAGCTTCCAGCCCAATGGCCGTAACATAAAATTCACTAGTTATAAATTCTCCCCACCTCTGGCCTCATGCCACATACAAACATCCCTCTCATCCCTGCCTCCTTGACCTGACACAACCTATCTTCTTCTCCACCTATCCACCGTATCCTTCCCACCGGCCAATCCCCACTACTCCCTCCTGGCATCCAAGCTATCGCCACTCCACCTACCTTTCCTCAGCCCCACCCATCTTCCCTCCTGCCTCCTTGACCTGACACAACTTGTCCATCTTCTCTCCCACTATCCACCCCACCCATGCCACTGACCAATCCCCACCACTCCCTACCTGCATTCACCTATCACCATCCCAAATACCTTTCCCCAACCCCACCCCTCCACTATTTATTTCCCAGCTCTCTTCCCCCTCCCCATTTCTGAAGAGTCCCGACCTGAAACATCAACTTTCCTGCTCCTCTGATACTGCCTGGCCTGCTGTGTTCCCCCAGCTCCACACTGTGTTGTCTTTGACTCCAGCATCTGCAGTTGTTGCTGTCTCAGAGGTCAAAAATCGACTGGTAGAATGGAAAACAGAAAGCTGAGAATTGGGGCAGAGACATAGAGGGTGAGACAAGGGTGATTGTTCAGAATAATAGAAAGTGGGAAGTGGTATTCCACAAGGATCATTGCTGGCACCACTGCTATTCACAATTTGTAATAACAATTTGGACCTCAAAATAAATTTTAAAAAATTTCTAAATTTGAATGTGACACCAAATTCGGCAGAAGAGTCAATACTGAGCAGGTGATGGCCCATTATTGCTGCACTGTTAATGCAGGGACCCAGGTAATGTTCTGGGGATCCAGGTTCAAATCCCGCTACAGCACATGGTGGAATTTGAATTCAATAAAAATCTGGAGTTAAGTGTCTAACGATGACCCTGAAACCATTGCCGATTGTCAGGAAAAACCCTATCTGGTTCGATAATGCCCTTTAGGGAAGGAAATTGCCATCCTTACCTGGTCTGGTCTACATGTGGCTATAGACCAGCAGTGATGTGGTTGACACGTAACTGCCTTCTGGGTAATTAGGGATGGGCAATAAATGCTGGCCAAGCTAGTGAAGCCTTAAACCCATGAATGAATAAATAAAATAAAATTAAAAACACTGCAACAAATTACAGGAGGACGTTAATAAACTTGCAGAATGGGTGAATAATTGCCAAATGGAGAATACTAATGAATGTGAAGTTGATTTGTTTAAACTAGATTACATTACTTGGAAGATACAAGTCTAGATTGGTAGAACATCCTATCTTGATAAATCCATAAAATCAAATATGGGACCACATGTAAAAAGGCAATAAAAATCAAACCAAGTTCTAGGCTTTTCAATTATACCCCTGTTGAACTGGAGTGGGAATACTATCTTAAATCTTTATAAATTTGGTCCCACTAAGGTTTGAAAGTACTGAGAGCAGTTCTGATCGCTATAATAATGATAGCGGTAGTGAAAAGGCTGCAAGGGTGACCCCAGACTGCTTGCATATACATCTGGAAAGCATTACAGGCTGTGTCTTTTTTCTCTTCAGAAAAAAAAAGAGGTGGCTGAGGAGCGATGTATTTAGATTTTTGAAATTAAAAGCTTAGAGTTAATACAGAGCGAATGTTTCCACTTCTGGGAACAGCATATTTTGAGATCAAGGTGGGAGATAGATTCAATTATGATTTTCAAAAGGCAATTTGATAATTACTGAGGAAGGAAAATAGTTACAAGGATTCAGGGAAAAGGCAGGGCAGTAGTACTTGCTGGGTTGCTTTTATGGAGAGCCAGCCTGACACAATGGACCAAATGGTCTTCCATCTATGACTCAGTCCTAGACACTGATATCTAAGAGTTTAATTTTTAAAGAATGCAGAACATTGCAATGCTATTGTTAACATTACAGGCATAAGATAAAGGATAATAGGACACATTACATGAATTTTTTCATGTTCATGATATCCAAATAATTTCCCTTCCAATCTTGAACAAAGTAAACCATTACATGTTTTCTCAAACGTATTACACAACAGTCGCAGATAAACTGCAGCAATGGCTAGGCTATTGCATGGTCACAATAATTGTTGATTTAATTTGATTAGTTCTTTAAAGTTTTATAAAAAGACATGCAGTGGCTTTCATACAACAAGGCACATTACAGAGGAATCACAAGACACAAGGTAGTTTGCAAGCAAAATTATGACAGGTCACGGTTTCAGGGAACTTGAGGGAAATTAGGCAGAGATTGAATAGAAAACTTCTAGAAGGCGGCTGCTCAGTGGCCAAAAAACAGATGGAAGTGGGCTAGAGAAAAGAAATATATGATGGACTGTAGTCTGAAGAGTACGGAATGCATCATTGTACTGGAAAGACCACATCTTTATGCTGTATTTTGGATTCTAGGAAGAGGAAAAGGAACTGTTTTAAAAACTAAGGATATTTGCAATTTGTTTGAAAGCAAGTAACTCAACATTCTTTGTAAGCACAGTGTATTGTTTGCACAGCTGCTAGTTCAAGTGGTTGTTGATGATTTGCAGAAGAGAAGGAGCTAATGGAGATTTAGCTGTCAATGAGTAGCTGATTGATCTGTGGCCTAGTCACCAGTAATCAATGACAAAGGTCTTCTGCCAGCCAGCAACTGTAAGATTGGTTCTCAGGTAGCTGTACATCTTAGGGCTTTGAACAGTATAGTGAAAAGGCATCGGATCTCCACAGGCTCGGGAGAAGCCTGATGAAAGCCAGCTCATTTTTCTTAAGCAGTTGTTATAAACTAAGACTTTTAATTAAAAAGTCAGAGACCTTTAATAAGTGTGAACCAGTCACCACGTTCCCACTACAAACAAGTGAAAGCATCCCGAGAAAAATGATCCAGAAGCAACGTACTAATCAGCACAAAAATCATCACAGCAAATCCTGTGAACAAATCCACTGAACCGCTTTTCCAGTTTGTCTTCCCATCCATAACATGCATTTCTTGTTCTGTCTATGTCTGTATATGCGTAATGGGAGTTTAAAAAGGGGTTAGAGTTGTAATTAGTAATACGTGCCAACAGTTTATAGTTGTTTCTGCAGCTACAGTTTATTTGTTAGTAATTCTTGTTCAGTACAGAAATCTGGTCTGCGCTGTCAGCCTAGTTCTAATATACAGGTAAACTGAGAAACTCTGGGTAGTTTTCAAAATCAAAACTTGTTACAACTCCAGAAGAGCTTGATTTTCTGCTGGCTACCCCAGTGAGGTACAACAGTACACAGAGTAATATGGAAACTTGAAATGGACATGCTGGCAGGGAGGAAAATAACAGTGAAGCCATGGTGGCTTAGTGGTTAGCAGTGCTGTCTCACAGTGCTAAGGACTCAGGTTCAATGCTAATCTCAGGCAACTTTGTGTGAAGTTTGCACATTCTCCCTGTGTCTGTGTGGGTTTCCGCTGGATGCTCTAA